AATAAAATTTATAAGAAATATTCATAAATATTTATTTCTATTTATTTTTTTTAAATATTATATACATAATATTTTATACATAAAAACTTCGTTTTCACTGATATAGGTTTAGCTTTGTATGCCTTGGGCATAAATACCATCCTGTCGGCTGAAAATGCCGTATCTCTCAAATAAGTGAAATATACAAGATATCAAGCTGAACAAAGAATATAAAAGCTAAGCACTTGTATTTTGCTTCATAATTTACTGTCCTTCCTTCTATACTTATGTTCTCCAAATAACCATTAAGCCTTTTGCAATTTCTACAGTGCAATCATTTTATGTGAGTTATGATATATGATTGCACTACTTACTACATTGACAAATCGATTCAACTGACAGTAATTTTATTAATACAAACAGTAAAAAAATTGAAATCATAACACAGTACTAATGTAACATAAAAGCATATAACAGAAATGATTGCATGCACATTATCCCACTTCTATTTTTTCTGACTCCTATGGCGTAAATATTTATACATTTATATATTTAATAATTTATTATATATTAGGCAGAATTACTCTTGTGTGCAGTCTGGGATATTAATGAAACATATAGTTGTTTTATTAACACAAGAGCATAACATACATACACTGAATTAACAAGATTATCTTCAATTTATTTTCATTTAAACTAACTATATAATGCTGTTAATTAGGAATAGATAATATGCATCGATACGCTAAAAATCGTTTGGAAATTGTCGTTTAGATCTTTCAAATGAAAAAGGAAAGATTTTTTTTTTTTTAATAAAAAAAAATCGGTTTAAAAATAATTTTTAACCGATATCAAAATTTCCGTTAGAAATCTAAAATAGCCTCTTTGAGGCTATTTTAAACCAATCTTTGTGTAAAAAAAAAATCATTCCTTTTTCATCTGAAAGATGAAATTTCAATTTCAATTTCCAAATAATTTTTAGCATATCGACACACGCCCTATATATATATATTCCAGTAATAATAATACTATCGCTTTTAAAAAATACTTTAAACTGACCCCCATAATCTCCATACATGTCTCCAGGATGAACAAAAATAACGGATGCCGCAGAGTAAAATTTTCGGACATCTAATATCAAATCGATGAAGACGTCCACGTTGAGACAAATCCCTGCTGAAATTCCGAGAAGAATGAAAAGTAGCATCGACGAACAGAGCAGTAATCTCATTTTGTTGGAGAATTGGTTGAGAATTTACCACGCGATAAATCAGAAAGACTATAACTAAACGACTAAAATTTCCGCCAAGCAGAATAAACGTGTCTCCCTGTCAAGTAACGCGAGGAGTAAATGCAGGGACGTAGGTACATATAAAATACTTCCATTGATATAGATTGCGTCATAGAAAGAACATTTGTAGAAGTATAAAAAAATTTAGCTAAATACAGATCTGAAACTAATATTGTTGTTTCTATTAAAATATTAAGAAACGCTCAACTTGTTAGAATGTTTTGCAGCATTGCTCATGCTTGAATTCCCATATAATTTGATAATCCAACAAAATTATTTTCAGATCTATATTTACTTAAAGTTTTAGATATTTCAATAAAATCATTCTTTCCGTAGAGAATTTCGCGATGTAGAACTAATTGCGACCAATTAATCGAGTATTATTTCTTTCAATCGCCCTCCTTTTTTATATTTTCTACATTAATAAGATGCAACGATGCCCTCTTGAGAATATTCATATTAAATAATTAATGCAACAAGAAGTAAAAATCTGGAAATATACATAGTTGATTAAGCGTGTAGCTTTTTTGGCTATTAAATGTCATGGTAAATAGAATGTCTTATTTTCGTCAAGTATATAATATTAAAAATATATTGGGTTGTCCGGAAAGTTCGTGCCGTAAAAGATTTAAATTTAATAAATGAAATTAAAAATTTAAATCTTCTGTGTTTCAATTTTCCCTCAAAATCGGCACGAACTTTCCGGACAACCCAATAGTTTAAGCAATGAATATGCTCGAAGGTAAATGCGATTAATTTTTAGATTATATTTTTAGATTTAAATTTGTACTAACAATGAATCACTTATATAACGATACAGAAATAAATATGTAAATACTTGACTTTTACATCCTTTACTAATTGACGACAAATATTTAAAATATTGACATTCGTATTCGACCCTGAGTATATCCACATATATGGAAAGTGCACATTTCAATTTATAATGCGGCATCAAATGTATATACACCACGAGATAGTATAAACTGATTGATATTAGTATTAGAAAATTTCAAAATGAACATTTTAAACAGCATGCAATATTTATAAAATATTTACAAAATATAAGAGAAATATTTATATACTTATAAAATTAACGAACGATCGTGTAAATGAGAACATAAATATGATAGAGAATGATCAAAGATTTTAAATGTTTCAAAATAATACGATATATATTCTTTGTTGAATCGAAATATTTAAGATATAATATTTATATTTATATTTACCAATATAAATATTATTATATAAAATATTATATAAAATATTTAGTCTGTATTTTAATAATATTTCGAATAAATTTAAACTTATATAAAATATATATGTAGGGGTCGGCGGAAAAATTAATGGAATCTATCGAGAATTAAAAGTTCTTCTTTTCCGTGAAGTGGAAGGAAAGGAAAGATTTAGATTAATTGATTTTCTATATTATGCTTAAATCTGTGCTATGGCCATAAGAGGTACTCTACAATAAGTCATTAGTCATAAATCAAAAATTAAAAGGAAATTAATCAGTCGTTAATTAAATTTTAGCTTTTGACTTTTAATTTATGATTAATTGTAGAAGATTCATGTTCAAAATATTGGGTGCGTTCAGCAGATTCAACTATTCAACTATTGTGCAACTGTTTTACAATTGTCTGCTGAGATAGTCTGCTGAGATCATTCTTCTAAATCTAAAAGTATAATCCAATCAGCGCGAAGAAAACTTTCAACAGTTGCAAAATAGTTATAAACGTAGTTATAAACGTTCTGTTGAATGTAGTCATTGCAACTTTTATTATTATACATTACGTTATGTTACGAATCCCCATTATTAAATGATTCTTAGTTACAACAAGCAAACAGCGGAAAGATTAAGAAAAATTTAAGTGTTTAACAGTATGACAAGATAGAAGAATGGTGGACAAAGGAAGAACTAAGAGAATTTAATAGTGTAGAAGAGATTGTTTATTGAAATACTGAACAGACGAACACGAGACATAATATTAAAAAAGAATAGAAAGATCAGAAAAATTAAGAAGATATTACAAGAAACCATACCATTTACAGACTCGAAACTCAATTAGACGAAAAAACGAAATGATGATACAAAAATATTAACAGAAAGTGGACAAACTATAGGACATGGAGAAACTGAAAAAACGTACAATGCAAGCACCACGATATTAGATAAAGATAGAAAGCCGATAGAGAAGCTCTAACTATTGTATAAAAATAAAACACTTGTATTTAATAAAGACGAAATGATGAAACATCAAATTCTCTTAACATTGCAAAATCATAAAATGAATATAAATAGCCTTTTACGTAATGATCATCAGTCAAAATCCTGTCACATCTGACGCAAGAAGAGTTACGACACAATGTAAAAGATAATTCTGGCTAATCAAATTGAAGGAAGACCTTCTTATTTTGCTGTAATAATAAATGGAACAATAGAAAACCAAGACATTCAAGATCAACAAATTACAACAAAGCAAGTAAGTCCAATATCTAATCCAATGGATTCAGTAAAATTTTCCATACAACATTATTATTAAAAAACCCTTACTAGCCTTTAAATTTTAAGATAAGTACAGAAAAACGACCAAATAAAAGAATAACTGAGAATATCCAAAGAATTAAAAAAAAAAAATCAAAGAAAAAACTTCTTCTAGACAGAAAGGGTAAACTTCCTTTCATAGAAACTGTGTTGGGTAAAAACTTTGCTACTTATTATTTACTTTTGACTCACTCTCCGTTGGTGATCTCGACACAGTCTCTGTTGTTATCTTCGTTTTCACATGAAATTTTTTTTATGCGTAATTTTCCTTTTCATTGATGTTCATAATTTTCTAATTTTCTAGTGTTCTCTTCTTTAAAGATAAATTTGCTTGCAGTAGTACGAGCCTAGGCTAGTCGGATGAATACCTGAGGAGACTTTGACAAGTGTCATGCCAAGACTGATTAATTGGTTGTTTTATTTTTAGACTATTAAAATTATAAAACGTCCATAAATTTATATTGAAGACGAGAAATCTTATTTATTTTTTATTTTATTGATTCTTATTATGAATATTATTGACATTAGTATTCTTATTATTATTGAAAGTATTAAGTTAAAGTAGTTTTATATTTTATGCAAAAAATGTATAATTATAATATGACACAAAAAGATAAGATATTTTGTAAAAGAAAAATGGTTCTGTAATAAAAAAAACTGATAGAAGAGAGAGAGAAAAATAATTTACCTATTTTAATCCTCTTAAAAGCTTAAAAATCATTTTAGAATGATATGAATGTTGACCTGGAAAAGAAAAGAAAATAAAAAATTAATGTTATGAGCAAAGAGAAAATAAATGATATTTATCTTGATGCTGAATTATTAATCCAGCATTGATTTCGTCCTGGGAAATCTGTAAAGAAAGAAAAAGTTATTTATTAAAAATTTTAAACTATCAGAGACTTAATGCTGGGATGCTGAAGTGACCGGACCATTTTAGATTGATATGAATCTCCGAATTTACTGAACGGAGTAAAAAAAATCTTTTTACAGGATTAAAGTAAATACGAAATTGAGAAGTGCTGCAATGAACTTTATATTAAATTGAGAAAAAAAATTTATAAAAAATTGAGAAAAAAGTTAAAAATTTTTTTTTTTCAACTTAATTTTAATCAGTGATTACTAACTTAAAGTCAGTGACTATTCATTTGAATAAAATGTGGAAAAAAGTTGATAATCATTACAGTGATTATCCACTTGAATAAAATATGGAAAAAAGTTTCGCGGGCGAAATGGCATCAACGGCGTCGGTAAGGGAATCCAATTACGTTTGAAGTCCACTGTTCACATACACAAGACTAGACATATTCGACACACATGCAAGCGGTACAGGTACTTTTTCTACTGTGCTCCACTGATGTAATACGCTGAATAAAACGCTGAAAAAAGATGCATTCAGACGCGAAACTGCTAAATCCGTTTGAAATCATAGTAGGAACGTACGAGCAATATTTACTTGGTTACAAAGTGCACAACATCATAAATGTAAGTTACATTTCGTCACGTGTCTTGTGTACAGGTTAAGTTCACGCAACCCAAGTATAAATTTCAAGGAAAATATGCTTCTATATTTATATTTCTTTTATTTATTTATATATTTACATTTATATTTAGATATTTGTATATTTATATATTTGTTATTTTATAAGATATGATCATTCAAGTTTTAAAGAAGTTTTAGAGAAGAAAGTATATCTTGTAATCAAAATTTTTACTTTAAGTGAGGAAATGTTAAGTTTGTTCTCTCTCTCTCTCTCTCTCTCTCTCTCTCTCTCTCTCTCTCTAAATATGAATATTTTAAATATAAAATTCTATTTTTTGTCCTTTTTCAGGAATATAAAATAGAGAAAAGCTTTGCGACTCACAGCCATGTTTCAAGTATACGTGCTGTCGCCAGTAGTAAATACTATCTAGCTTCAGCTGGTGCCGATGAAACGGTATGTCTATATGATATGCGTTACAGACGGGAATCCGGCAAATTAATGCATCATAAAGGTATGTAGATAAATATACTAGTATTTATTCTTAGAGAAGTAATATGTTACTTGTAACATCATCACAATTATTTTTTTATAATAACAATTTAATAATAATATAATTTTTCATGAGGATAATGTATTATTTATGGAAAGAAAAGAAAATAATCCGCATAATGATTGAAGTAATAAGTACTTATTTTTTTTAATGAACAACATGCAATTGTAATGAATTACTTTTTAAAAGTGACTGTTTCAACTTTGATGTTATCGTGAAAAATTGTAGCTATAATCAAATGATTATTATAAAAAAATAACATTAATGGTAATGCATTACAAATATAATGCATAACTTGTCTTATCTTGTTTATTCTATAAACAATATTATATAATATAAATTCCTACAAAAATAATAACGATCTTTATATTTTCTTTGTAGATACTATCAATTGCATTGCATTTACTCCAGAAGGCTCACATCTATTCGCTT